ATTCAGTGAGTTTAATGATTAATTTATTAAGAAGCGGCGAGAGAGTGACTAAAAAAAACGGATGCTGAAAAAAAGTGAAGAATTTGATTAGTAGAAGCAAAAATACAAAGAAAAGTGAAGAATTGAAATCAAACTCCAGGGGGAACCCTGGCATGCTTTAAGAAACTTTTTACTAACTGCAAGATCCAGCGTCATGCTGCCTCTTCTGTAGTGTAAGTCTGGTAAATCTCTGCAGATGGAGCAGTGCCACAGAGATGCCTGTCAGACCCTGTGCAAGGAGAGCCCACCTGTAGCTTGGAGCTGCACTCCATAGGTAAGGATGCTGCTTTTTCCCTTGCCTGCGTGGGCTGGTGCACCTAGTCACACGGTTTATGAAGTAAGCTCTGTCACGCTTGCAGCATGCTGCTCCTTCTGTTTGCATAATCTTGCATGCATGCAGCATTACGCCCTCGGGCTGGGCACACGCATTCATGCTGTCATGCAGTTCCTTGTGTACACATCCTGTACTATGCAACAATGTGCAAATGATGATTGTCATTGATCTCATTTGTTCTGAATCTATTCTAGTAAAGGACCCTTCTGGAGGGTGCTGACATGTTTCTACCCTGAGGCCTCAAGCGTGGCACTAGCTGCTGCTCTGATGACTCTGAATGTTGCTCTCTGTAGGTAATGTGGAGTTCCATTCCCGGGTGGAGCGCTTCGAGACCCCTCCGCAAAGCCCGGCTTTCTTCACGCCCCGATCCCAGGTGCCCTCCAACCTCACCCGCTCTATGCAGCAGAAACTGCAGAGCGCCAACACGCCGAGTTCAGTCCGAGCCTCCCGCATTCGCCAGGTGGGTTTCCGTCTGCTGTTTGCCTGTGATCCCCCGCTCTGTCCTCACTTGTGTCAGTATGGCTTTCTTTTTACCATGTCTGCGCAGGAGCGGCAGGAGGAGCTGCGTCTACTGCGCTCACAGCCAATTGCCGAGAATGCTTGGATGAAAAGGAGCCTGTCGGACCCCTCCCTGGCTGAGGTGAGTCGGTAAAGATGGGGAACTGAGCTGTTGAATGATTGAATGATTTCTGGCTCTTAACTTTTCAGCTTTTACTTCTTCGCCCTACCATTAGAGCAGGTATGGGTTTTAGCTTCTCCCGAGATGCAGTTTCTTGTAACATTGGGAACAGCCGTTGGGTTAATCGGTTGCCTGGTGAAGAAAGGTAGTGTGGTTGCTTTACGTGACCTCCAGTTTTCACCAAAAGGTGAACTCGCTGCAGCCACCCTTGCGACAAGTGGCTCCTCGCTGCAGGACGCTGCAGTGGCCACCTATGCGTCCCCGGGATGTGAGTGTGCTTTCAGGGATTTGGGGTTAGAGGTTGCACCCAGCTTGTGTTTCTAGAGGCTCGGGGTTAAAATCACAAATGTCTGCATGTCTTTTAATCATGCACGGGGTTTTTTCCATCTGGTGTCAGCCTTTATTTTGTGCTCTACACAAGAATATGTGGGTCGAAGCCACCCAGTTAGTCCCATACTAGGTATGCACCTATCTGACTTTCTGTCCCGATACTGATACCAGGGCTTTGGGCATCAGCCGATACCGAGTACCGATCCAGTACCAGTGTTTAATTAAGAAGCCGTAGGCTTTGCCTCACTGTGGAGAAGACTTTGATCATTCTTTAATGTGTAAAGCAACATCAAGCTGAACTTGAACAAAGATCTCCTAGCATTGTAAATCAAAATGTAACAAATGCATACATATATATATTAGTGGCCAAAATAGAAACACCTACACAGGTAAAATACCTGCGTGAAGTTGCCCCCCCCCCCCCCCCATATGTTTCAGATTTCAACCAAACTGGTCTCAATCGAAACACGAGCCTGAGCACTATACGGCGATCACGTAAAGGCATAAACTAAGAGGTATAACTCAGAAAAATAACTACACACAATTTTTAAATGGCACAAACTATTGAGACCGGTTCGGAGGCAAATGGGGGGCTAACTTAACGCCAGAGTCACGTGACCATGTAAATAAGCAATATCTCAGCACTGAAGCAGCACAAAGGACAGTTTTAACGGCACAAACGCGGCACATACGATTGAGACCAGTTTGGTTGAAATGTGAGACACATACGGGGGGCCAACTTCAAACAGGTTTTAAACGTTACTACACGAGTACTGGTGGTAATGTTTCTAAACAAAGAATGTTAGAAATATCATATTGCATGATTAAATAACTGGAGCAACATTAGAATAAAGTTCTGCAATCTCTAAAAATTGGAAGTGTGCAAATCAATGTATTACCTAGCGACACAAACACGTCGATGCACAAGTATAAATGCTCACGATGGCATAGGCCATTAGTGTAGGTTACAATGTAGGCTTGACTCAAAAGTGTAATCGAGGATGGATATTTGGTTGTGAATAATTAATTTACCCAAATTAAAACAGCATTTGTAGAAGTTTATTTAGGCTTCTGTAGTATAACAGTAACAAAGCATACTGTGGCATTTTCTTTCAGCGAACCGGTCGATGTATTTCAGAATACCAGAATAGTGTTACTTTTGAAAATATTGTCAATACTTTTTACACCGCAGTTTAATATCTGTCCAGTCGTAATACTTTTTTAGTCATACACAACCTAAGCCACCCTAATTTATGCCATATGTTGTAATCGCTGTAAGCTATATTTGGCAGTGCTGCCTTTGTGTCTGGAAACAATAGCTTTGCAGATATTGCGAGTAGCTGGAGAACTTGTTAGCATAGCAACTTCAAGGGTGAAATACCTCCAAATTGCTGACTTGTTGGCTCCATCCATGCTCTGTTAGCTCTCCGTCTAGCAAAATGTGCGCTTTCACCGGCGTTCTGCTGACATATGCGCAAGTAGACATAAACATATCAAATTGAATAGATTGGCCCCATTGTCATTGGTATCCGGTCCAGCTGCCTGTCAGTGTCAGACTGATTTCCAATATTAGTATCAGATTGGTGCATCCCTATCCCAAACAGGACTGAGTGAATGGATGCAAGGCAATAATAAGCACTGTAAATTACACAGGTGGAAGCTTCTGAGACCAGAGCCAGCAATGATGAGCAGCCCAGGCCAGCATGCAGTGGTGACCCTGCTTGCCTCCTGGAACCTAGTAAGGAGCTCCATTCCAGTGCAGGTAAGATGCATAGTCCACTGATGGGAATGGAGGACAAAAAGGTATCTGGGTGGAAGCACATGGGTGACACAGGTGTGATGTTCAGTGAGTGGTATAGGTTTGTAGGATTTATTGTGGAATTTGGAGTGTAGTGGTTGTGGCACACTTCAACAGGAGAGCAAGAGGGACGTATGTGCCCAACAGGAAAACACTTTCTACCTGCAGAGATGCTTTCTTCAGGTGAACAGCAGGAGCAGAAGGTGCCTTCACCAGAGGAAAGGCAAAAAGTACCAGCTGAGATGCTGGAAGGATCAGCTTGTTTCTTTGGAAAGCAAGAGCTTGAATTTCTTCCAAGTGATATAATGGAATTTACAGAAGGTCGGCGGCAGGCAGGGTTGGAATCTCCTGGAGGAGATGAGCAAGGTGGGGAGGAGCCACGGTTCGGCTACATGGAGGAGCAGGTTGAGGGGGAAGGAGAACAGGGTGAGGAGGAGCGACAGCCTCCCTGTGTGGAGGAGGAGCGACAGCCTCCCTGTGTGGAGGAGGAGCGACAGCCTCCCTGTGTGGAGGAGGAGCGACAGCCTCCCTGTGTGGAGGAGGAGCAGGTTGAGGGGGAAGGAGAGCAGGGTGAGGAGGAGCAGCAGCTTGCTGGTGAGGAAGAAGAGCAGCCCACTTGTGTAGAAGGGCAGGGACAAACAAAGGAGGCTCTCAGTGTGGAAGAGCAAGGACAGGTGGAGGATCCTGGCGTAGAAGAACAAAACGTTCTCCATACAGTGTTGCGGGGACAGGATAAAGTTTCATCTGTTTGGGAGTCCAAGGTTTGGTCCAGAGTGTCTGAGATGAAGGAAGCACCGTCAGGTGAGCCGTACCTTGAGGCACATGCCTCTGGGTTTCCTCTGTCATGTTGAAGGGTCAGATGCAGATTATGTGTGTTTGATTCCCCTGGCAGATAAAGACCTGAGTGAGGAAATGAGCACCTCTGGGATGATTGACCAGCTGTTTGCTGGAGTCCTGGATACTGAGGAGGAAGAGGAGGACAAGAGAAGGAAAGGACACTGTGATTCGGATGCTGCAGAGGGGAAAGGGGAAGAAATGGGTCTTGCTACTGAGGGTGTTGAGCTGGAGAGTAGGTCACTGGACAGCAGTACAGATGAACTGTTGACCCTCCCTTCCAGCTGCATCCTTTCCCCTCTCAGCAAGTCTGTGGAAGCCGTGGTCACTGATTTGGTAAGAGCCTCGTCTCCTCATCTGTAGCTCAATAAATACAGTCAAGTTGGTGTAATGAGGCATTCTAAATCCATAGGTATCAATATGGATTTTGTCTCAAACCCCTCCCCCCCCCAGCCTGGCACAGATGTTGGACATGAATGAAGGCCTGGCACACAATCTGTTCTAGTTTATCCCAAAGGAAGTTTGATGGAGTTGAGGTCTGGGCTCTGTGCAGGCCTGTCAAGTTCTTCCACACCAAACTCAACCATGTCTATGGGCCTTGCTTTGTGCACTGGGGCACAATCATGCTGGAACAGAAAAAGGCCTCCCCCAAGTTGTCCTGTCACTGAAACTAAGGGGCTTAGCCCAACTCATGAAAACCAACCCCATATCATTATCTCTGCTCAACCAAACTTTACAGCTGGCACAATGCAGTCAGACAGGTAACATTCTCCTGGCATCTGCCAAACGCAGGCTCATCCATCAGTCTATTTGGCATTGTGCTTGGTGATGTGAGGCTTGCATGCAGCTGCTCAACCATGGAAGCCTATTCTGTGAAGCACCTGGCACAGTTTTTGTGCTGCGGTTAATGCCAGGGGAGGTTTGGAACTCTGCAGTTACTGAGTCATCAGTGTATCAGCGACTCTTATGCATTATCAGCAGTCAGCGATCCCGCTCTGTTACTTTACGTTGTCTGCCACTTCACGGCTGTGTTTGTTGTTCCTAAACACTTCCACTCTGTAGTAATAACACTTACAGCTAACTGTGGAATATCTGAAAAGGAAATTTCACATACTGACATTTCTATACACCTGAGGCAATGGATCTGAATGAAATGTCTGACTTTAGTAATTGTGGTGTGTCCCAATGCTTTTGTGCATGTTTTGTACCTTCCTTGGGTGTCTGTTTATACTGAGACACTACACAACTGGTTTTGTTCTTAGTTTTGATTGCAGAAGTTGCTTTTATTTTTTTCACCAAATGGTAATGATTGAATTAATCGATATTTTCTTTATGCATATGTACTAGTTGTAGGTTTCTGGGTTGCTAGGCAAAGTTTCAGAGCCTAGAGATTAATTTATGTAAAGGAGGATGAAGAAACTGTTGAAGTGACGCTTCACTGTGCGGCTGTCAGGCTTCCTCTAAGGTGCAGCCACTCTTGGTGTGTTGAGGTGTGTAGTAACAGCCCGCTATTGTCGCCCTGATAGAGACTTGCCTCCAGCTGCCTGCCTGATGTCACCTCTGTGGATTGTGTCCCAGAAGGGCCCCATGACCCCCCACCCTCAAGCACCCCGCTCTACAGGTAAGGGTGAGCTGATGCAAGCAGAATGGCGTCACTGCATAAAGGCTGCTTTGACTGCTGACACGATCAGCCATGCAGTGGATGAAAATCCAGTTGCTGTTGCCAGTGAGATCAGCTCCTGTTGCATTGATTGTGACCAAGTACTTGTATTAATAAACACCCTTTTGAAATGCTCATGATAGTGTTTATATTTGAAATAGCTGGTGCGTTTTTACTATCTGACTTGCCAGCTGAATGTATAGTGTGAGGATCTGTACTAAAACGGCAAGCTCTAAGTGCAGGATACCAAATGTCAAATGTGATCATACATGCTGTTTTAGAAAGAGGGCCATTATAACTTAAGTGATTCACACGTTGCCTTTTTTTGGACAGCATTGATGCATATCGCACGCAGCTGCAGAACTCCCGGCATGCCGTTCACATTGTAACTCCGACCGCAAGTGGGCAGAGACCGCAAGCATCCTGCCCCCAGCCGCTGATCAACACCAAAGACAGGATCAAGGTAGGATAGTTTCTGTGATGGCAGAGGGGTTTCCTTGTTCTGGGTGGGGCAGCTCCCCGTGACCGACTGTGACCGGCTCCCCGCAGGCTCTCAGCGAGGATGTGGCCAAACTGCAAGTCGTCATCACTCAGACCCTGCAGGCGCTGAGCTGCTGCACAGATGAGGACCATTGGAAGGGCTCCCCGATGGAGGCTGAGGCAGAGAAGCTTCTGCTGGTTTCCTGTGAGTCTCTGCTTTCGCCGTTTCATTATTGGAATCAATAAGTGGTCTTAGTCTGACTTTTACATTTCCTTAATGTCACATCGGTTCCCCATCTAGAAGGACGAGATTTGTTTTCCTGTCTGTATGTGTCTGGTTTAACTTTGGGTTCCTCAAAAGTGTCTGACTCATGCATCTGTGTTTCCTTCTCAGGTGAGAAGCGCACAGCCCTGTTGGCTGAGGTGGCACAGCTGAGGGCGGGAGTTGAGTCGGGAGATGCGGTGACGGCCAGTCCCTCTCAGGAACCCTGCAGGGGCACCGTCACCATTGCGAACATACGGCTTCCTCTCAAGGTGGATTTTGTCTGCTCCTCTCTGACACTCGCAGGTATGTTTGTGCCACATCCACACCTGCACCATGAGCCCACATGTATGCACAGCAGGGTTGGGGCCATTCCGGAATGCATTGATCAATTGCAGTCCAAATCAGGAAATGGAACTGGAGCTAGGATTGGGGGGAAAAAAACTATGGGGAACAGAATTGGAGTTAAATCTCCCTGAAATTCAAATTCAAGTTCCAACTCTAGTTCCATTTCCTGATTTGGACTGGAATTGATCAATGCATTCCGGAATGGCCCCAACCCTGATGCGCAGCCAACTCATCCTCTGTACAAAACTCGCACAGGTCGACCAACGCACTACTTCTTTGTTCTGATCCGCTACGGGGCCTGCAACATCGTGGCCACTCCCCTGGCCATAGCAGCTGATGCGCAGACTGGGGACAGCATCTCCTTCCCTACCTCTGTCACTCTGTGAGTGGTCCTGCGTGTGCCTGTTGCATATGCAGCATGTTTTTCTTGTTGGTTTCTCACACTGTATTGCCCGTGTGTGCTGTAGGCAGGACATCCGCTCCAATTTTGAGATCGATGTGGAGGTCTACAGCTTGGTGAGATGGAACAGCTCCAGCGGGCTGCAGTTTTTTCCTTTCTTTTCATCATGACAGGCAGTCTAGTCCTTTGCTTGGTCTTTCATGGGGTATTGTCTTCCGTCTTCCTCAGTCTCAAACACCAGGGAACGCCAAGAACTTCAACACAGAGCGATTCTCTAAGTCCAAGGTATACTGAACTGCTGATCTTTGAGTATGACACTGGGAGAGGGGATGGATATCCTTACAGTGACACCTGCATATTTCCAGAAGCACTTAAATTGCCTTTTCCCTGATTGTTCCACCAGGTTACTCCAAAGAAGTTATTGAGCTCTATCAAGGTGAGTGCTTGACTAGTGCCATCTGACATCAACCTTAGTCTGAGCACATTCTGTGACTAATCAAGTTTTTTTCCCCACTCTCTTTTATTGTAACAGAGAACCAATCACAATGCAGCATGTAAGTGTCTGACCTCGTACATTCTGAGTCCTGCTGTCTGCCATGTGATTACCCAATTTAACTCCCCACCCCCATCTTCTCAGCAACTGCCCTGACATCTGTGGGTCCCCAGCGTTCCAGTAACTTCTGCCTCGTGGGCTCGCACAAACTCACCCTTGCTTCTCTGGGCCAGACAAAATTTCCTCTGGACAAGGTAGGTGTCACGGTGCCCCCCCCCCCCCCCCACCACCACTGGCTATTGTGTTTCTCCTGAAACCTGAATCCAGTGTGGCTGTTTAAGTTCTTGACTCTGTTTTGGTATTGGATTATCAGGTGTCATCACCCTTTTTCTTTTCACTTGATTTGCTCCAAAAAGCGATGCTGTCACTGCAGCCAGTGCTTGTCGCCAGTTTGACAGTCTTTCGGTATGCAGACTTCTCAATAAGCTGAGAAAAATTCAAGTTCACGTCTGAATATTTTGCAGATTCGTGTCATTTTTGGTGTGAAACGTCTTTAAGAGTATCGTGATTTTGTATGCGTTCTGGGGTATCACGCAGCAGCGTTTTTGTGAAATAAGGCAATTGCTGATGCAGAGTGTGAGTAGCAGTCACTCAGCTGGGAAGGGTGGTCAGGGTGCCTCAGCCTCTCACCGTCTTTGATCCATAATCTGTAAGTCTGGTTGGCAGGCTTCACCGCCTGGGCCTCCTCACTGATTGGGACTCTGCGGCTCTAATGCTCTTCCTTGTTTTCTCTCTTCACTCTAGATGAAGTTTGATGGCAAAGTCAGGAAGCTTCTCGGGGATGAATTTCAGGAGAAGGTTTAATGCTGACAATTGCCACCCTTGTATAGATCTGAGATGCAGTAGAGCTTCTGAGTGCTTTCAGTGCTGGCATGGCTCTCTTCCCCTTACCTGCCCCCTCCCCTCTGATGGTCTGTCTGTACCCAAGTACATTTCTGCTATTACTCCCTGACCCCTTTGTTATTCCCCTCTTACCTAATGTCCTGCTCCTCTCCTAAGCGCCAAGGTGTGGTTGTTCCCTTTCCGTGTGGAATAACGCTGCCCTGCTGACTGTCTAACCAGGATTAAACCTCAGCTAACTGCCTTTTGGATGGCAAAATAAATAAAGTGGGTGTCCTCAGATATGAACGAGCTAATAACACTGCTACTGTCCTGCCTGGCAGGTGCCGTTCTTGTCGCCGCTAGAGGGGAACATCTATTTGCAGCTGAATTATGAGAGCCATTCCAACGTCCAACACAAGGGCTTCCTGGTGAGTGAGTCCTTGTCCTGTCTCAAATGAACAGTTCAGTGTTATTTTTAACCTGCAGTTATATGAAAATGCAGTCTTCCTCACTTTCGCTCTCAGACCATGTTTGAGGCAGTGTGTGAGCTTGGGTCATGGCAGCGTCGCTGGTTTTCACTGGAAGGGAACCTGCTCTTATACTGGAACTCCCCCAGCAGTGAGGGTAGCAAGGTTAGTATGTTCATTCGGCAGCTACATGTCTGCTGTTCTTTATGCGGAATGCCCTGAAAGTGATCTGCCCTTTCTGTGCTCTCATTCCCCTCGCAGCCTCCAGAGGGCAGCATCAGCCTAGCCAGCCGTGCTTATCAGTGTGTAAGGCTGGTGACGAGGGACTCCTGTGCCCGGCCACACACTTTTGAGCTTGTGAGCTATAAGGCCCTCCAGGAGGATAGTGGTGTCACACTTGACAAGTGAGAACCTCACACTACATTGTTTTGACAAGCACCCTCTGGGCTTTTAGTATGTGGTGTCATTTTGGGATCTTTCTGCTACTTTCTCTTTGGGATACTGCAGTATTTGCTATGGTGGGATTTTAAACAGCTTGACATTCGCTTCTGTAAAAAAAAAAAAAAAATACTATGAGACATTTTTCAAAGTTTACTGGCATGGCTGAACCTACATGGTGGTGTTGTGGTGTACAGAACAAGGGTAATTATCAATAATTATGAAATTCCTCTCTGGAGGCATTTCATGAAGTTTTATTAATTTAGTAGAAGATTCATAAAAATCCATGGGTTTGGGGGCAGACATACTGTGATCCTCCACTGGTTATCTTTAGTTAAGTGGACCAGCACCAGAGAAATGCCTTGTGGTATCTGATATGATGGTAGCATTACCACAGTAAAAAAAAAAAAAAAAAAAAATGGATAATTAACCTTCATTTTTTTTAATTGCCAATTGCAGGGTTCCCGCGGGGTCTTAGTCTAAAATTCAGAAAGTTCAATTTAAGGCCTTAAAATGTCTTTAAAATGCCCAGATTTTCATCCTAGGTCTTAAATTTAATTTACCCAAGTCTTAAAATTCTTACCTCCGTTCATTCCCAAAAAGCGTTGTCCGCAGAAAATAAAATAGTAAAACGCTGTAAGACTAATCCGTTGGTTGTGTTTTCTGGTCTGCACCGGTGTCTGCGTTTGTAATAAAACTACAAATCTCATCGCGTGATCACTGCAGCTAGGCAAACAAACA